TTCTTGAACCTTCTGTTGCCTATGACCACAGCCTGTAAGCCATTCCGATAACCCCCCCCCCTCTCTAGAGAGAGAGTCGTTCTATAAGTTCTGTTCTAGAAAACCCTGACTAATAGATCACTCATTTTAAACAGTCCTTACCAAGTCGGTAAGGCAAAGAGAGGAGATACAAGGCATTTAAACTGGAAAAGAAAAACAGAATCAACCCAACTGTCCTTTCCCGATGACGGAGATCATCTAAGTATAAATCCTAGAGAACCCCTAATAAACAAAACACCCTTCTAGTGAATTCAGCTAAGTCTCAGGGTGTAAAATTAGCACAATCCAGTTGAATTTCTGTATACTAGCTATGAATATCTGGAAATTGAAATAAAAAAACACAAATGCCATTTCTCCCCAAAATAAAATATTTAGGTATAAATCCAAGAAGGCATACATAGGATCTATACAGAAAGTTAGGAGTTGGTGAACGATGATGTAAGATAGACTTCAATAGGTAGACATACTGTGTACATGAATTGGAAGGTTCAGCATAGTAAGTATGTCAGTTCAGTGCAGTTTCTATCAGTATCCCAGCAGGTTTTTGAAACATTACAAGCTTTTCTTTTGGGGGGCGGGGGGCGGGCAAGGTCAGTCTGTCATCAGAGTTCATGTAGCCAGTTCAACTCCTGATCTCCTTCGTCTGCTCCTGAGAGAGCTGGATGAGCTGCCATTACCAGTTTATATGGTGCTGGGAATTAACCACAGGGCCTCACACATGCTAGTAATTCCTGTCAGGTATAAATGTATACAGAAATGAAAAAGTAGTACTACCAATATTTCCTTAGTACTGTGATTTAAAATACCCAAATCATTGAAAATGAGAGTTTTCGTTTCTTGGTTTTAAAAAAACAAAAACAAAAGCCTTTCCCAAAGCGCAGAGCAGTCTCTGCTGCTTGGCTCTTTATCATAGAACCTGACAAAAATACAGCAAATGTCTCTCCTGCCTTGGCGGATTATCACCTCCTTTCTAAGTATGGATCAGCTTCTAGGATTTTATCTCTCGAGTCTCAGTGTTGTGGAACTTCTCAGAGCTTCTCTGACATGAAGGCTGTCCTTCTGTCACTTTATGAATTTATTTATTTCTTTTTCAGTACTAGAGATCAAACCGAGGGCCTCATAGGTACCAATGAGCTACATATTCAGCCCTCCTTAAATTTAAAACACATATTTATTTAGTGCAACAGCTCTCAACCTGTGGGTCACGACCCCTTTGGGGATGGAATGGTCTTTCACAGGTGTTGCATATCAGATACTGTGTATATCAGATATTTACATTACTATTCGTAACAGTAGCAAAATTGCAGTTAGGAAGTAACAACAAAATAGTTTTATGGTTTGGGGTCACCACAACATGAGGAACTGTATTAAAGGGTCGCAGCATTAGGAAGATTGAAAACCACTGAGAGAGAGAGAGAGAGAGAGAGAGAGAGAGAGAGAGAGAG